AGCCCGGATTTCTGACTTTTCTGACAAAAAAAAAGTCAGGTCCTCCCACTGGTGAGGAAGCTGAGCAGCACATATTCCCTTAGAAGGAGCAGATATTCTCCAGGAAGACAGGGCCCCCATCAGGGCCTCTCTACTTCATGTTCTTGGTCCTTTGCAACTCTGTGATTTCCGTTCTTTTGCTGCTGAGAGTGTGAGCTGATCCCAGGGGGCTGATCAGGCCCCGCGCCTAACCTACTGAGTCAGAGTTGGCATTTTAATATGTTCCCCGGGAGATATCTACAGGGAAGTTTGAGAAGTACCGTTACAAACCACAGAAATTTCTCTATCATTTTGTTAGTAGTATCAAGTATCAAGTGACATATTCCTAACCAGGATGAGCATTGGGATCGCTGGAGAGTTTTTGGCTTGTTTCATACCTCCGTCCAAGACTCTAGCCAGACTTGCTGAAAATAGAGTCCTCGGTATATAGGGCTCAGCCTGTCAAAGTAATGGAAGCCACAAGAGTTTGCTGCCCATATGTGAGAAATATGGGTTTCAGTGTAGATGTAAGGAAGTTTATTGCTATCCTACTGTGGTCCTCAGGTAGAACAAGTTCTACCCCAAATGGCAACTATGCAGTCTGACTGTACTTCATGCTGAAATTCTGCCCAGCAAAGGGTCTGTTTGATTGTTACTTGTGTGATGATGTCTGGTTACATGTAGATTGACTTTTGGGAGAATGTTGCAGGGTTTGAAAAGAATGTGTGTTAGTCTATGTTAATGCTCACACTGCCTGAATGGTTTCAAAGAAAGATTGTATTGAGAAGGTTTTCTTTGTTTTGATACTGTCTTACCGATTTGCAGTGGAGCGGTGATATTCTAAAAACAGTAACACTATTGGCTGACTTTTTTCCCTTTAAAAATATTTTGGCTTGCTCTCACACAATGTGTGCCTTCAGGCCTCTTATTTGTTAAATTACTTTTCAAGGCTGCTAATTGCTTCTCAGATTCTCTTAGTAATTAATCAAAGACCTCATCCAAAGTTTATTTGCTCAATTATCAGAGCTGCCATATTAGGAAATTTCAGTGTTAATCCTTTTTTATATAAAATTTTCGTATATAGTTAAGTTTATATTTGATGAATGTATCTTTCCAAGTTATTTTAAACTAATTTCCTTAATCCAGTTTTTGATGTAGACTTTACAATGTAAATATTTGCCACTTACTTCCTCTACCTATTTATAAAATGTCAATTTCCCTATAGTTTTGTTAGTAGTATCAAGTGAACAATGGCAAATTGGAGAGTTTTAATATTTAACTGTAGTGCTTATCACTTTATTAGTTATTGGGAACATCTGATCCCATTGCTTCATTCAGATTGGGTAAAATGAAAAGCTACTAAAGTTCATGACTGTAGATTAGACCTATGGACCAGCAGTATTGCTATTACCTGGGATCTTGTTACTAATGGTGAATCAGGCCTGATCCACTCCTACTGTATCAGTCTGTATCTTAACAAGATGACCCCAGCGGGTGATTTGTGAGAAGCTCTGGACTGCATGGTTTGCTGGTCAGTCTACTTTAGGACTGTAAAAACATACAGCATATATGATGGTGATGAAAACAGTGTCTGAAGATGTATTTCCCCCCATCTGCTCAATTCTGCTTTTCTTCTTCAATTTCATTTTGATGAAGATACCACCTGTTCCAGATTGCCTTCTTATATCTCCAGCAAACCCTATTGTCCTTCCTTGCTACCCTTCCCCATTGCCACTGAACAAGGAGCTGTAGCTTGAATTCTTTACTCTTTCATGGTTAATATTTTATTTGGAGACATACATAGTATAGTATGGGATCATCTATGCTTTTGATATTTAGATCTTTCTACTTGGTATCTGTCTCTCATCTGTCCGGCATTTAAGCTATGCTGAGTCCATCCCTTAGGCCAGTGGTCGGCAAACTGTGGCTCGCAAACCACAGTTTGGCGCTCTGTTGATTAATGAGTTTGCTAATCACTGACCTAGATTCTAGATTCCAATAATCACAGGCTGTGGTTGTTCCTTGTGATTAAGCCCCTATAGGCGGTGGTTTTTAAACTCTGGTAGAGTCACCTGATGAGATTTAGAACATTAATGCTTTGGTTCTATCCCAGATGAATTAAATAGATTTCTAAGGGTTGGCTGTGGGCATCAGTATTTTTTGTTGTTAATCTTCATCCAAGAATATTTTTCCATTGGGTTTGAGAGAGAGTCGAAGTAAGGGAAGGAGAGAAAAACTTGGATGTGAGAGAGACATGCCCTAACCAGGGCCAGCGTTTAAACCAACAATCCAGATACATGCCCTTGACTGGAAATCAAACTCGAGACCCTTTGGTGCCCAGGCCAATGCCCTGTCTACTGAGCCGCACTGGCTAGGAGGCATCAGCATAGTTGAAGTCAGTTTCTGGAGATGGGGTCTGGGTGATTCTGTTGGGCAGCCTTGCTTTAACACGGCTGCTCCAGGCTCCCTCGTATTTGTTATTGAGGGCATTGTAGGCTATCAGGTGAGTAGGACACAGTCATTACCCTGAATTATTTTATAGTCTATTGAAGAAGACAGGCACATAAGCCGATATCACAGCAGGGTGGGACATAATCACAGCAGGGTGGGACAAGTATAATAAGGGACAAAGTACATGGCAGCACTACAGAGGGATGATAAACACTGTGGGTGTGGGAGGTGGCATTTGAGTTGAGCCTCCAAGATGAGTGGTCATTTACTGGGTGGGCAAAAAGGAGAACACTCCAGACAGGAAATAGTCTTATGAAGTCATGGGGTCATGCATGGTCTTATCATTCCCCATCTTAGGTGTGGGAGACTGGGGTCTGCTTCTTATCTACCCCAACTTCCTCTGAATCCTGTTTAATATTTCTTCTCCATGGGTTGACAATATTACTACATTTTTCACATTACTTTCTGTAACTACAAATCATGTGCCCTTAATTATTAGATTGATTTTTTAAAATAACAGCTTTGTTGACATTTATTTCATAAACCTGTATTAGAGTTGTATAGTGGCCACAATAAATAACAACAGAAATTTATTATAGGGCTGGAGGCCTGCAGTCTGAACTCGAGGCGTCAGCAAGGCACCCTCTGCCTGGGGCTCTAGAGGAAAATGTCTCCTTCTTCCGGTACTCAGGCTGCTGACATTCTTTGGCCTCCTTGCTTTGTGTCACATCACTGCACATGTCTTCACATTGTCCGTGTGCGTGTGTGTGTGTGTGTGTGTGTGTGTGTGTGAAACGGCCTTCTCTTATAAGGGTATTTGTTGTTGCATGTAGGGCCCACATGAATATTCCAGGGTGATCAATAGTCTCATTTCAAGATCCTCAGCTTAGTTACATCTGAAAAGCCCCTTCTCCCCAGTAAGATAACTTTCACAGGTTCCAGGCATAAGGATATAGATGTAATGTTTTTTTTGGCCACTGTTCACAATATTATACAACTTAATGGTTTTTAATATATTCACAGAATTGGGCTTTTTTTTTTTTTTATCACTATCAATTCTACAACATTTCCTTCACCCCAAAACAAACACTGTACCCATTGGCAGTCACTTCCCATTTCCCCCAGTCCTCAGCAATCACTAATCTACTGCCTGTCTCTATGCGTGTGCCTGGGCTGGGCATTTCACATAAGTAGAGTCATGGAAGAGGTGGCGTTTGTGTCTGGCTGGTGACATTTAACATAAGCTTTCAAGTACCAGCTATGCTGTAGCATGTATCAGTCCTCTGTTATTTTTACTGTTGAATAATATTCTGTTGAATGGCTATGCCACATTTTACTTACCTATTCCTTAGTTGATGGACATTTGGGTTGTTTCTGCTTTTTGGCTGTTGTGTGTAATGCTGCTGTGAATGTTGGTGTACAGGTAGGTGTTGGGATGGTGTATGTTTTCTCGCTCGGGCGTATGCCTAGGAATAGAATTGCTGAGTTTATGTGAACCTTTCTGGGAACTGCCAGACTGGTTTCCATTTGGAGTCTCATAGCAGTGTATGAGGGCTCCAGTTTCTCCTGATCCTTTTTGATTGTCTCATTTTCTTTGGTTCTGTGGTCAGTCCTGCTTTTTTTGATAACCTTCTCACTAAGGTTGGCAGAAGATAATTTCCATTCCACTTCTGTTAATGTCATAATTTTAAAGAAATGAAAGGTGATAAGTTCTTGTCTTCTCTAAATATATTTACTTTTAGTTTTGTCCTACTTCCCAAAAACTTAGTTTAACGCCAAAAGTTTTTTTTGATGCCTATCACCAAATCTATATATTTTGTTAATCTTCAACCAAGGATATTTTTTCCATTTATTTTTAAAGAGTGTGGAAGGGAAGGGAAGAGACAGAGCGAGAGAAACATCAATGTAAGAGAGACACATTGATTAGTTGCCTCCCGCAAGTGCCCGGACCGGCCCCCATCAGGATGGAAATTGAACCTACAGCCGAGATATGTGTCCTTACCTCGGAATCAAACCCTTGAGTCTGCGGGTCAATGCTCTAACCCAGTGGTTCTCAATGTTTCTAATATTGTGACCCTTTAATACAGTTCTTCATGTTGTGGTGACCCCCCCAACCATAAAATTATTTTCATTGCTACTTCATAATTTTAATTTTGCTACTGTTATGAATCATAATGTAAATATCTGTGTTTTCCGATGGTCTTAGGCGACCCTGCTAGCGGTTCTCTGTAGCGACCCACAGGTTGAGAACCACTGCTGTAGAGCCTGGGGCCTCCATAAACGTTTTATTTCTCAAGACGCAGGATATCCTCGGTCAGTTGTAATCTCAATGAAGGAGGCACCTTACCTTGCTCTTTTTCTTGTAAGCTTTGTATGCAGCTTGTGGTGATTGTCCAATAAGTATTAAATGAGTATGTGATTATTGTCTCATGTGTAAAAGGCTTTACTATTGTATGGGCTTCATGCTTTTTCTTAATTATATACACATGTTTGATGGCCTAACAACTTTGGTTATTGTTTTTAATGTGCAGATGGACAGGAGACTGAAGATGTGACAGAAGAATGTAAAGAATCTTAAGAAAGACTTGCTGAGATGTGCTTTGAGAAAGTTGGTAAATTAAGTTAAACTATACCTTTTCTGAATCTTTGAATTCAGCAGACCATTCCTAAAATAATGATTTTTAATATTTGGACTCTCTTTCTGGATTGCATTTGCTTGATATTTTTGAGTCTTGTGGTATTTTTGTTCAGTGATTTTTCTTTATTGAAATTCCTGGGAAAATTGTATTTTATTGTTAATCTTGCAACATCAGGGATATATTATAGAAACCAATATTTTTTGTGTATGTACTGTTTTTAAAAAAGTTGATTGTTCTGTATTTGATTTTATATGTTACAATCTTATTGTGATTCAGACAGATTTAATCAGTATGAATTTTTGTTTTTGGCCCTGACTTTCCTTCTTGCCTCCAGTCTAATGCCTGTTAACTACAGCTTGCCATAGAAATAAAAAAAATTTTCTCAACAAAGCAATGTTAAGATAGGTTTTAGTATCTTATTAGCAATGATACTTTCCTTGAGCAGGAGTTTGAATGATTTGATAAATTACTTTAAGTTTGTTATCATTTAGAGTTTACCTTTTAGAATGTAGCAAATAAAGATCAGTGACTTAAAAATGATGTGTGGTACTATTTTTAAGAGAGAGGGTTTGTCTAGTTACAACTCAGTAACCTGGACTCCTGAGAAAATTTGATCCAATAATCTATGATATATGATGAATTTGCATTAGAAGTAGAAGTCCAGTTCATTGTGCTGCCTTTAGTGAAATTGAGTTCTGTAGATGTAGCATTGTTGTTTTTTGCTTGTACTTTTTTTCTTCTTTTATCTGAAAAACAGATATTACTCAAAATTTTTCCAGAACTCCAGTAAGCAGAGGAATTATGAAGGTTAGAAAAATGACAATGTGAATTTTAATGCATTTAGCCTCAATTTGTGTAATAGACACAAATTTTCTTCAAGGGAGGCCATGTAAGTATATTGGTAGAGAGCATGGGTTCTGGAGTCAGAGAGATCTGTATTTACACCTTAAGATTGCATTTAGTTGGTATGTACCCTTGGCAGTGGTTTCTTAATATCTCTGAGACTTAGTCTTCTCCTCATATATGAAATGGTTAAGTAAAATCATGCATATAAAGCTCTTAGTATAATTCTTGGCATATGGCACACATTTAATAAATTCAGTTATTACATTGTCCATGACTGCAAACGTGTTCAGTGCTAGAATCCAAATTTCACAAACATTGCTATGTCTTTTGTAGAATAGTAGAGGCCCGATGCATGAAATTCATGCAAGGTCCTCGGCCCTGCCCAGCTTTGCCACTGCGACCCCCACCAGCTCCTCTGCCACGGCCTTTGCCCACCCCATCAGCCACTGCTGCCTCTGCCTGGACCCCACCCCCCACAGCTTTGTCCGGAAGGAAGGGCGTCTGGAAGGATGTCTGGTCTAATTAGCTGAGAGTTTTTGCTGTGGGATGCCATCATTTGTGATGTATAATAGAGTTTGGGTCAGAAGAGTCAGAGGGGAGGTGATATGGGTGGAAATTTGGAATGGTGGCAGAGAGCAGCCATTTTTGCCCATAAGCCTTTCAAAGGAACCCAGTTTGCTAAATCCATGTGTTTGTGGTATTTGGTGTGTGTGTGTGTGTGTGTGTGTGTGTGTGTGTGTGTGTGTGTGTGACAGAGGGAGAGAGGGAGAAGTATGGAGGGGTGGGGTGGAGCAGGGTGTGTGGTTGGGAGAGCTTATGGCTTTATAACATGTTTCTACAAATGGTATCTGGGGCATAGTGAGCCTTTATATTCCAGGAGCTTAAGAGAGGGGACAGAAAACAGAACGATCTTAGTGATGAATTTTGCCATTACAAGAGGTGACACTATTTCATAGTGTGTCAATCAAAGGTACCTCTAAGCAAGGACAGGTAAGCTGAATTTATAATATAGTTCAACATGAAGGTTCCAGATGAAAAAAAAATCCAATTAAAAACCAGTGTCTTTATTTTAAGGCTTCATGTAGAATAAAAACATTTCCCAGAACAAGATAGAGATGAAACCCTAGCCAGTTGGGCTCAGTGGATAGAGCCTCAGCCCACATGCTGAAGGTCTCCAGTTCAATTCAGGTCAAGGGCATGTACCTCTGTTGCAAACTCAATCTCAGGCCCTAGTTGGGGCATGGGTGGGAGACAACCAGTTGATATGTCTCTCTCACCTTGATGTTTCTCTCTTTGCCTCTCCCTTTCCTTACATTCTCTCTCTCTCTAAAAAAAAAAAAAAAAAAAAAAAAAAAAAAAAAAAAAAAATCAATGGATAAATATCCTCATGTACAGATTAAAAAAAAAGAGAGAGATAAAAAGAACAAAAGATAATTCATATCAGGAATGAATTTAGTATCCTAAAATTTGTGGTTTTTGGACTTAAGACTCAAGAAAACTGTTGGCACCACCTTTATTGTAAACTAGGGGCCCAGTGCACCTTGAAAGGAACTGTGGGCCTGAGGCTGTGGTGGGCACAGGGGCAGGTCTCACTCCATCCTTTGCACCCACCTGTTGCATCCTTTGCCCGGCCCCTCCCACTGCAGCCCTTCACCCCCTGTCTGCCAGTAGCCCTCTTCTTGCTGTCAATGCTCCCACACATTGACTGCACTGGCCCTGCTTGTACCCATTGACAGCATGATTGCCCCTCAGGAGCAGGGGGAGAAACCCCAAGGGTGATTGGAGCCGGCAGCCACTGCTCACACCTGCTGACAGCACTGAGGGATCAGGGTTGACACCAGGCGCTGGCAACAGGTATGAGCAGTGGCTCCGGTGCTGGCAGCAGGTGTGAGCGGCAGGTGAGACCATGGCATGCAGGAGCAAAGAATTTTTAGTAACCACCAGAGGCTTGCCCAATGACAGCATCTGTCGCCCTGCATTGGTCTGGCATCCCCACTTCCCTGCTCCACCATCCTGCCATGGCCAATGCCTGCCATGTTCCACACTTGCCCCCTGGTGGTCAGCACCCATCACAGCGGCTGGTTGTTTGGTAGTTCTGTTTGGTTTTTCCACTGTTTGGTCTATTTGCATGGTAGGGTTTTATACATGTAGATTCCCACAGGACCTGAAGTTTATTGCCCTTCAATCCAACTTTCCCCGAGACACTTGCTAAAACACTCTTGCAGGAAGGGGGAAAGGCTATCACCTTGATGCCATAATTTTAGTTTTTTTCATATTGCATAATTAAATGTAATAAGAAACACTCCTCTTAAAATATATGATTAGGAAGGAAGTAAAAAATAGCAAGACAGAGAAAAAGTTCAGAATGGCATATTTAGAAGAAATATTAATAAATTCATAACATCAAATAGTCAGAAGTAGAATCTGGAAAGCAGTTACAATGTTTTCTCCAAGAAAGGAAAGAAGATATTGCAGGGAAATAGTAAAGTTCTCAGCAATAAAATTAATAGACACATTTTCAACATTGCAGAAATTAACTGAAAAAGTCAGTTATATTGTAATCAGTGGGAAAAGGCCTAGAAAAAGAACCTGGATATTGCAGGCCTAAAATAAAGATATTTTTAAAAAATGACAAAAACATTTTTATTTTTAAATTATAGTTGATATACAATGTTATATTAGTTTCAGATGTACAACATAGCAACTAGACATTTATATAACTTAAAAAGTAATAACCCCAATAAGTTTACTACTCATCTGACATCATAGATAGTTATTACAATATTACTGACTATTATTCCCTATGCTGTACTTTATATCCCTGGAACTATTTTTATAACTGGCAATTTGTACTCATTAATCACTTTCATCTTTTTTACCAATACCCCTAAACTCCTTCTTATATGGCAGCCATCAATTTGTTCTCTGTATCTATGACTTTGTTTGTATTTTTTTTTTAAGATTCCACATATAAGTGAAATCATATAGTACTTGCCTTTCTTTAACTTATTTCACTTAACATAATATCCTCTAGGTCCATCCATGTTTTTGCAAATGGCAATATTTTATTTTATTTTATTTTTTATGGCTGAGTAATATTCCATTGTATATGTGTACCACTTTATCCATTTGTCTATCCATTAACACATAGGTGTGCATATATGTTTTGGAATTTGTGTTTGTTTGTTTTTTATTTGTTTTTTTTCAGATAAGTACCCAGAATTGGAATCTGCTGAGTCATAGGCAGTTCTATTTTTAAATTTTTTTGAGGAAGCTCCATACTGTCTTTACAGTTCTACCAACAGTGCATGAGGATTTCCTTTTCTCTACCTCCTTGCCACCAGTTGCTGTTTGCTGATTTATTGATGATAACCATTAGAACAGGTGCGAGACATCCTCATAGTTTTAACTTGCATTTTCCTGATGATTAGTGATGTTGAACATGTCCCTTTGGGAGATGTGTATACTCAGGTCCTCTTCTCATTTGTTAATTGAATTGTTTTTGTTGTTAAGTTGTATGAGATCCTTATATATTTTGAATATTAACTCCTTATTGAATGTATCATTGGCAAATATCTTTTTCCATTCAGTAGGTTGTCTTTTTGCTTGTTCTTGCACTGTGCAAAATGTTTTAGTTCCACATCCCATTTTTTCCCCCTTGTCTGAGAAGACATAGCCAAAAAAATATTGCTAAGAGAGATGTCAAACATATGCTGCCTATGTTTTCTTTTAGGAGTTTTGTGGTTTCAGATCTTACATTTAAGTTTTTAATTCCTTTTGACTTTATTCTTGTATATGGTATAAGAAAGTGATTTAGTTTCATTCTGTATCTGTCCAGTTTTCCCAACATCTTTTATTGAAGAGATCATCATTACCACATTGTAAATTCTTGCCCCCTTTTTTTTTTTGATAGATTAAATTACTATACAGGATTGGGTTAGTGTCTGGACTCTATTCTGATCCATTGATCTGTCTGTCTATTTTTATGTCAGCACCATACTGTTTCGATTACTATAGCTGTATAGTATAGTTTGAGATCAGGTAGTGTGATACTTCCAACTTTGTTCTTCTTTATCTAGATTGCTTTAGTTAT